TGCCTTTAGGAGCACGGAGTTTGTGGCCGCGGGTGCTCTCAAACAGGTTTGTCAACAATGTGCTACCAGCGCTCGGATAGATGCTCTGGTAAACACCACTAACCGACTGATATTTAAAGACCTAGCTGATGCAATACGAGAGATCTCAGACCCTACGGTGGCCGATATGCAAACAAACATGGGGAAGACTATCGCCAGAGGATGTCCTGCAGAAGACCATGACAAACCGGACTGCAGAAGACCAGTTATCTCAAAACGTAAGCGCAGGAAAACATGTTCAAACGACGAGTGTGATCGACGGGAAAATTAGTATCACCAGATCTTATGGCTCATCTAATGAAAAATTTACGGTTATCTTTTCCGGGGTCGACTATGATCACTGCGTTACCTCAGGTTAAAGTGCGGGAGATGATTGAGAAAGGCAGGAGTCAGAGTTGTGCTTGACTGATACAAAAGCAGAGGTGTCAGTCAAATGGAATAGAGATGCCCACCCATCCACCTGTGGTAGGCGGATGGTGTTCGACTGTATTTGATGCGCATATGCGGAATGTTGGCGCCGCTTGAGTTCGTCATCAGCCTAGATTCTGAGGTCAGTTTTCTCAAGAGTGAAGAAGAGATGAACGATTTCAGGAGAGGCAGACTAGTGAAAATCACACAAGCGTTATTGCGAAACGCGCATTCAAAGCGTATCCCGCTACGTCTATTGTGAAATTCCCATAGTCTACGTTACTCCCTTCGAATTCTGCTTGTGAATTAAGCATGGAAACACTTCCGACTGAGTGAGCTAGGCAATATTGTGCGCGCCAGATACTGGTCCATGCACAAGAATAGGTCAACCGAAGGTATACTTGAGGCAACCAATGGTCTTTATATAACTGCAGCCCTGTTGGGCAAGAAATCGAACGAAACTCATTGATTCTTTAGTAAATTTCATCCACCCTCAATATTATTAGTCATTCAATTGCAGGAATATACGACGGTCCAAATACTAGCGAGTGGCTACTGGTGTAACGGTGGATTCTACTGATGAGACACGCGAGTAGTACGTTTTCTCGCAAATCCGCTTCGAATCTTTTGAAAAATGAGCTTTATTGTGGAATTTTTGGAATTGTTTTAGAGCATTCGTTTACATTTGCGTGATAGTCTGATTATACAGGAAAGTTCAGGAAGACGTGTTCGAGAAGAAGATGGGTATTCAGTTTTTATAAACAAGATGCGTATGAGAGTTTTGCTTTCCTGTCCAATAGTCTGTAACTGTTCAGTTGGTGTTTTCCAAAAAGTTAATCCGCAGCGAACGCCCTCTGCCTTTAATTTCTGCAGCTGTGTTATGGTGAATTCCACCCACCCTCAATATTATTAGTCATCCGTTTGAAGGAGTATATGACGGTCCAAATACTAGCGAGTGGCTGCTGGAAACTAGCCATGATTCTAGAAATGCGCGAGAAAACGATATTAATGGAGGGAAAACACTCAATAGCACTTAGAAATGTTGGAATAGGCTCTCTTTTAGGTGTCCAGTACTTTGTCCACTCAAGGGACAAGAGATTGAGGGTTGAAGATGGCGCACAGCGACTTGGAAGTGGAACAAGTCGCGCGTTTAAAATCCGTGTTGGAGCCTACTGAAGAGGCCGGTTTGCGGAGTTCTGAAGGCAGATCAACTTGTCCAAAGTTTAGCAGCCATAATGCGTCACAAAAAGAAGGATAGGTCAAACCACCACCAAAGAAATTGGCAAGTACCAAGAACTATCCAGTCTCAAATTCAAAGCGCATTTCTGACAAGCAGAGTGCGTAAGGGTTGGTATGGAGGTTTGTCTTGATCGCTGGCCCAATCTACGACCTGCCTCATCTGACCAGTGGACAAGGTAAAAATAACAAGTCATTGAACGTATCGATACGCAGAGGCTGGAACTTTAAAGTCATCCTAAATTAGCAGAATTTTCAAAGTCACAATAGACGCCAGTGTCCCACCAGCCTGAGTAGTTCTGAAGTAGAATGATGGGACGTCTTCTACGCCGGATACTTCACGATCGCCCGATCCCTAAAGGAGTGAAGGTCTAATTAGCTCGGATAAAACCCTCAAATGCAAACTGATCACAAATATCTTGAATGGATCAGGACTACCAGAGATCTTTGAGGAATCACACAGTAGGCTCTTTAGTAATAGGAATGCAACTTCACGATCCGAAGCGTGTCGAAGAATAAGTCGTATTGCTGATTGGCTTTTAAGGTCGGAGTTCAGGGTCAAACGGCCATTAAAAACTGTCGGTATGCTAACAGTTAAAAAGGCAGAACTAAATGGAACTGGTATACCATCATGAAATTTCAATGATTTGGAGGCTCTAATATCTGGTGGCCCGGGAGAAATGGTCATACGAGGGGTAGCGCGTACGAAATACTCCAGAACGTGAAATTTACTATGGTGGAAAAGGACCATTCGGACAGAGATTGGAAGTGATATAACAGAGTTGCGAACTGCAGACAGTGCCAGCTGTTGAAAAGGACAACGGGAGTAAATCCCTCCATTAAGCCTATGTACCATAAACCAGAGGGATGTGGTCCACAGGTGAGATGAGTCGATTTTCAACCACGACCAGAAGAAAACAATAAGTATTGATAATGATGAAAGAGTTTGCCAGTGGACCGAGCCATCATTCACACCAAATCAGTGGACATATATGGGGTACCGAACCCAGGAGACTAAAGATCGTATTTGGGAGGCATGAGTTTAATTGCTTGCATCGCTTGAGCAGTAAAGTTAGGTGTAAGGCCAGTAGCCTAAAACTTGTCCACAACTTTCATATTGTGTTCCGGTATGATGAAAATTACTATTTAATGCTTTAGCAGGACCTCTACAGCTTACCGTCCTGGGTTAGCGGAAATTGTATGTGTATGTACTTTTGCACAATGTGGCATCCGCACAGTAGGTGGAGTTTTTCACCTGGCCGGGAATCTGCTAGTCACACCTGGCATCCGATATCCAGAGCAACATTCTAAATCCACTTTGTCAAACAGATCAAAGTGCGAGGGTGAGGAAGTAGCCCAATGAACCTGGTGCACCATCTGTTGAATGCGTATCTGAAGAAATCTAATGCGAAGAAGCCTATACGCAGGTATGGACTGTGAGTAAGGACAGTCTGCAACGAACTCAAACTTAGCATTCAGAGGAAAAGCTAGTCCTCGATAACAACTATGCGGTTGTTAAAAAATGCCTAACGGCGGGATTCATGGTAGAAAGCAAATTTCTAAGCCACCATACATGGTAACACGACAGGAACTGGAGTTGGGCTCCCAGGCGGTTAAGCCAGGATGCATACCAACTTCCACAAGGTGATTTAAACGGATGTCAACTAGCTGAATATCCGTTTACCGAGTAGTGCGCCAGCTGAAGTCACCTCGTCACAAGCTTAACGGAACCACTGTTAATAAGATTGCGACCAGCGTTCAGATTTTCAGAGTGGTTTCAGGAGGCGATGAGGGGACATTCTTTACAACTGGAAGACAAGTATTTGGTGACGTGACTGGCAAGATTAACATTTCTGGGGTCCCAAGAATAGCTCAGGACACACTACAGTTTCGGTCCAAAGATCCTGATGTGGTTTGTAATGTGTGGCAAGACAGTCAGGCAAGACAATCAGTGGTTACACAATTCTAAGGGCGCTATAAAAGATACTGTGTATGTGCAATTTCTCAGTGGTCCAATTTAGACGTGTCTGCAGACCTGAATTCAATCAAAGGAGAATGGATGCACTCTATGCAAGTGAAACAGCACCGCTCTACACTAGATATGGTCGCTTAAGGCTGAATCCTGATCGATGTCCCGAGAAGGCTCAGTGGTTAAGTCGCGAACTTTCTAACCGCAAAGTGTGCGGTTCAAACCCCGATGGATGGTTTAGACGATCTGGATATGCGATTAAATTTTAGATATATTAGTTAGCTGGCAACAATGGCAACATTGCCTCAGCTGGTGGTATCAGGTTAAGTGAAGAAAAAGCACACTAGTCTGACATTCATAGTCGCTTTAAGTAAATTGATTCAGGTATTTTGGGGCTTTGTTCTACATACTTTTGACATTCACACGTCATGATAAAGAGTTCCGCTGAGCTCGTAGACGAGGGATCAACCACCAGTAGATGAGAGAATGCATATCAGTGTGTTTGAAAGATAGGTGCTTTCTCATCTACGCTTTCTACTGTTGATGAACGAAGTCCTTTGTTTGTCCATGCAGCCTCTTTTTATGTTGCTTTAAGTGAAAATCTGTTACAATTTCATCCCACGGAAGACAGAATGGTTACTTGAGCATTAGGATCTCTTTCAACTAAGGAAAGTAACTGATGGTAAAGAAGCCTTCGAATCATGCTACTCCCACTGCTCTGCTGTGGTGCGGCCGCCGGTATGTATAACGGCTACCCTTCCGTTTAATTACCCCTCCTGCACCTACTATCCACATTTTGTTTTATCTGCCTCGCAATCACGCATCAACATCGTGCCAACGAATGCGACCTTTGGCCGACAACAGGTTCTGTGAACCCGTTAAGGGATCAATGTGATTGTCGTTGTTGTTTTTCGCTGTCCACTAGATGCATATAAGGACAGAACTTGGCCAATCGACACACAGCACAACACTCTACACAGGCGCTCAATATTTGCACAATAGAATTGAATTTTCGAAAGCAACGACGTGTCCCTGTTGCACTAAAAGACACAGGCAAATGAGTTTAGAGTACGAGTCCAATCTTTTGTGTCCCATCTAGGCATCCCGGGGTATCAGCCATGCTAGGAAATTATTACATCAGACTTTCCGCTTCATTGGACAATGAAATTCGGTAAGCTGCACAAATATGGACCTAGATTAGGATGGTTTTTGATTGGAGCACATACGCAACGAAATGCAACGTTTCGACGTAAAAAGTTTCATTCCACTCCCAAATGTCTTGCAGCTAAGAGCATTGTGCGGCTAACGGGCCCCCTCTACACACGACACAGTCGACACACAGACTCACGCGCGCACGAAGCAAGGAGTCAGCCAAACTCCACAAGTCCACGCACAAGGAAGGAACACGTGTAGCAGCTATACCTGCGGAGAAAACACGTTCCCATTGTCCGGAATTCCACCAAGGGACTTTCACAAACGATAAGTTCCTCATTTAACTGGCTCCACATTCCATTTTGCACTTATTTTTATACGTGTTGCATCTTATCACAGTCAACCATGATAAAAACTGTCATTAGTGCATAACTACAGTTTCGGTCCAAAGATCCTGATGTGGTTTGTAATGTGTGGCAAGACAGTCAGGCAAGACAATCAGTGGTTACACAATTCTAAGGGCGCTATAAAAGATACTGTGTATGTGCAATTTCTCAGTGGTCCAATTTAGACGTGTCTGCAGACCTGAATTCAATCAAAGGAGAATGGATGCACTCTATGCAAGTGAAACAGCACCGCTCTACACTAGATATGGTCGCTTAAGGCTGAATCCTGATCGATGTCCCGAGAAGGCTCAGTGGTTAAGTCGCGAACTTTCTAACCGCAAAGTGTGCGGTTCAAACCCCGATGGATGGTTTAGACGATCTGGATATGCGATTAAATTTTAGATATATTAGTTAGCTGGCAACAATGGCAACATTGCCTCAGCTGGTGGTATCAGGTTAAGTGAAGAAAAAGCACACTAGTCTGACATTCATAGTCGCTTTAAGTAAATTGATTCAGGTATTTTGGGGCTTTGTTCTACATACTTTTGACATTCACACGTCATGATAAAGAGTTCCGCTGAGCTCGTAGACGAGGGATCAACCACCAGTAGATGAGAGAATGCATATCAGTGTGTTTGAAAGATAGGTGCTTTCTCATCTACGCTTTCTACTGTTGATGAACGAAGTCCTTTGTTTGTCCATGCAGCCTCTTTTTATGTTGCTTTAAGTGAAAATCTGTTACAATTTCATCCCACGGAAGACAGAATGGTTACTTGAGCATTAGGATCTCTTTCAACTAAGGAAAGTAACTGATGGTAAAGAAGCCTTCGAATCATGCTACTCCCACTGCTCTGCTGTGGTGCGGCCGCCGGTATGTATAACGGCTACCCTTCCGTTTAATTACCCCTCCTGCACCTACTATCCACATTTTGTTTTATCTGCCTCGCAATCACGCATCAACATCGTGCCAACGAATGCGACCTTTGGCCGACAACAGGTTCTGTGAACCCGTTAAGGGATCAATGTGATTGTCGTTGTTGTTTTTCGCTGTCCACTAGATGCATATAAGGACAGAACTTGGCCAATCGACACACAGCACAACACTCTACACAGGCGCTCAATATTTGCACAATAGAATTGAATTTTCGAAAGCAACGACGTGTCCCTGTTGCACTAAAAGACACAGGCAAATGAGTTTAGAGTACGAGTCCAATCTTTTGTGTCCCATCTAGGCATCCCGGGGTATCAGCCATGCTAGGAAATTATTACATCAGACTTTCCGCTTCATTGGACAATGAAATTCGGTAAGCTGCACAAATATGGACCTAGATTAGGATGGTTTTTGATTGGAGCACATACGCAACGAAATGCAACGTTTCGACGTAAAAAGTTTCATTCCACTCCCAAATGTCTTGCAGCTAAGAGCATTGTGCGGCTAACGGGCCCCCTCTACACACGACACAGTCGACACACAGACTCACGCGCGCACGAAGCAAGGAGTCAGCCAAACTCCACAAGTCCACGCACAAGGAAGGAACACGTGTAGCAGCTATACCTGCGGAGAAAACACGTTCCCATTGTCCGGAATTCCACCAAGGGACTTTCACAAACGATAAGTTCCTCATTTAACTGGCTCCACATTCCATTTTGCACTTATTTTTATACGTGTTGCATCTTATCACAGTCAACCATGATAAAAACTGTCATTAGTGCATAAACCTTCTGAATTATATTATGGCTATCATCATCTGTGCACTAATATATGCATATCCTCTCTATTACGGCCCAGCATATTCTAGGTTTCAAGAAAATCGCTTTAAAACGGGTACAAGGAAGAAAACTAAGAAATTATGCTTGGCACACAGTGCCACTAACGCCGAAGGAGGAAAAGAACCAAGAAGGAATCTTTGTAATGTACTACTCATAAGGTTGCTGAAAATCCATCGACAGGCTGTCGATGGTTCCTTCACAAATGTATCGTCACATAAAAAGCATTTGTGGCTGCTTGTTTTTTACACAAAGTGGACAGAAGCGTTTGCGAGTGGTCATATTATGACTATTGTGTTAATAAAAAAAGTTCGGTTACTTGTTCTTCAGCCACACCAAGATAAAATAATCTAGACTTCGAAAGGGACCTGCACTTTCTGGGCAGTGCGCCGAAATTAGAAGCAAAGTCGTATCTCAAAATCTACTCCCTTAAAATTAGACGACCACGCCTGAAAAAAATCGAAGAAAAACATTGGACGGCATACAACGACTGCCCTGCAGAGCAAATGCGAACAAAAGCACCATTATTTTCTGCTCAGAAGAAAATTTCACCGAATCGGAAGTTTCAAAGAAATTGGTTTTCAGGATGCCCCAATGTAAAACCTATTGATGGTGCAATAGCATTGCGCCAGGTATTGCTGGTTAGTCCCCAAAACATTTTTCCGATGGTTAAGCTCCTCTCGTAATAACTACTCGTGGTCTATCTCTTCATGTGGTCTATATGGTGTGGGACAATTGTGTTTTCGTGAAATTGCTTTTCTGAAGACAAAATCCAACAAAGCGATTTGGACTTCGACTCACCAGGCCTAAGCAGAGCGACAAAAGTCTGACAGCTGAATGTGCTTGTAAAACTGGGCAGCAAAACAACTCCTAAACGATAAAGGGCTGTGGCGTGGTGTAGAAATCATCCGTCGGGTGAACAAAATGCATCGCCAAAGGTAAGTTCTGCTGCAAGGTAGGCCGAACAGGTCGGAATGCCCTCCAGAGCCTCGGTTTACACTGGATCTGACACCGTATTATAAGTTTCCCGCAGAGTTAGTCGCTAGTTCTTCAATTCTTCCCCTCTACCATGACTGTTCACTACGATCTCCGAAGGCCTATTCTGCACACGGTAGTGTCGTGTAGACGAGAAAAGTCACATTTAAGGTCACTTTAACCGCTGGACATCTGTGGCCCGTTCATATATACTTGGAGGTCTTGCATATGCAGCATGCATTTGAAAAGCCCAATGTTACATTCAAACAGACGAAAACCTGCTTAGAATGTTACCAGCTGATTTAATCTCTGCGGTGACAACACGAGTCCCGTCCATAAGCCGGTCATCAATAACAGCCAGCGCAAATTGTTAGACGAATTCAAAAATATCGGGAGCGGGAGCCAGGTGATTCAAATGGATCGTGAAGTGCGGCCTATCTAAGGACTTCTCCCTTGTACCATTGTAATGCTTGGAAGACATTCTTCCGACTGGGGACCACAAGTCTAGAAAACATCAACATCAGAGTGAGTTGCGCGGTCAAGCCAGACCACAGGTAGAGTGAGGAGGTTTCGGTTTTTTGTGGAAATCTCTAAGAAAAAAGACATTGCTGTCATTCGAGTGCTAACCAGGGCATCTATCTTTAGCGCCGACAGAAACACGGCTCAGAGGAGTCAGGTTTACGGGCACATCATCGGCAGAATCTGTCACTAAAACCAAGGATGGATCGTGATTTCTGCAAACCTGGTGAAAGGAATAAAAGCCTTCGTTGCGGAGTTATTCATTCGGAAATGACAACTGACCGGTTACAGACCATTGAACAGGGAAGCAAAACTCTAATCTATATCTTAGTTACAAAAACTGGACACAGATCTTCTCCCGAACGAGTCTTCCTAGAGATTCGTTGCCTCCACTCATTCGTCGGTCAAATCCAAGCAAATGTTACAAAGTGGCCCCACGAATTCCGCAACAGAATTCCCTTTTTCAGTTGACGCGAAGCGAAATTCTACGAACAACACATACCACTCGCGTGCCTCCCGATCAGTAGTATCGCCGTTACACTGGTAGTCGACCGTTGCCGTCTAAAGGTGTCTGAAAAACATCCAGTCCATCCTTGTTCCTTGGCGTAGATCTGCCTCGGTATCCAGGACGTCGGACAGTTTCACTTATTGTATTTTTATTGGATTACCAAACATCCAGAATTATCGTTCAGCGTCTCGTGTCTCCATCTGCCGAATTTTTACGCTTTCCGGATGGAATTCATGACCCCGGTCTTCACTTACTAAGATCCGGAATGGAGGGTCATGTTTTCTGATGGCTACCTTGCGTCCGTTTATCTGAGTCATCATCATCATTATCATTATCATCATCATCATCGTCGTCGTCATCCACAGCATGATATCAGTGTTCAACACTGATGCTTCACAGCCGTATAATCATGACTTATTTGAAAGCCTTATTGTAAAGAAAAGAGTAAAGGTGGACGGGGAAGGGACTTAGTGCAAGCTTACCACAATCATTCCGAGGTGCCTACACCTCCAGACATTCATTCAGGCAATCTGGATAGAAACTGACAACAAGCACGCCACTGACATCAGTTGGCAGCCATATCTTGTTGTGTCTCCAACCAGGCACAGTGAGGATCATGCAGTCCCCATCCTGGAAGGCGAGTAGCGCCGACAGCACCCAAGCATTTCGTGATCCCCTTCATACTCCGCCGCCAGGTCAAGGGCTTGCCACCTCTCTGTTTACGCCACTCCGAATTGGGCATGGAAAACCGCACTCTCTTCGGCAAACGATGATTCGGCATACGTAACACGTCCCAACCAACGCAGCTTTTGGTGCTGGACACATTCTTCAATGGAAGTACCTGCTACACAACCGAAAACGCGCTTTCTAACTGCCTCATTACAGATTCGCCGACACCAACCCACGCGAGCTATGGTTCTGAGACAACGATTGTCGAACACCTGAAGACGTCTCAGTTCCGCTGCTCGAATAGGCCAAGTCTCACAGCCATACAACAAAACAGCCCGTACTGTAGCTCGATAAACACGTCCCTTGAGATTCAGGGACAAACCATTCTGACGCCATAGGTGTCTCAAGTTAACAAACGCGGCCCGAGCCTTGCAGATTCGT